GACCTTCTAGGTCCGTTTCCGCGGTCAGCCAGTGCCAATCGATGGGTCATCGTGTGCGTCGACCACCTGACGCGCTACGCAGAAACTGCGGCTATACCTACTGCAACAGCCTTTCACGTGTCGCAGTTTATGCTTCGGCATATCATTCTCCGTCATGGCCCTCCACGAGTCGTCATTAGCGACCGGGGACGTCAGTTCGTCGCTGACGTCGTTGAAGAGATCCTACGCCTGTCTGCCAGCCAATTCCGCCACGCAACCCCGTATCACCCCCAGACGAATGGCCTCGTAGAGCGGACCAACAGGACGCTAACGAACATGTTGTCAATTATGTTGATGCCAAGCACAAAAACTGGGACGAAGTACTGCCCTATATCACATACGCCTACAACACCGCGAAACACGAGACAACAGGGTACGCGCCCTTTTTCCTGCTCTAACGCCCGCTCCCCTCGCAGTTGCCTCGACACCATTCTGCCTTTTACGTTAGATGTGGAAACATCGGTTGCCGAGTCACTATGCCGCGCTGAAGAAGCCCGTCGCGTCGCACGCCTTCGAACCATTGCATCTCAACAGCGCTCCAAGACCCGGTACGACGCCCACCATCACTCCGTTGCCTACACAAAGGGTGACCTGGTGTGGTTGTGGACACCTGTCCGCAAACGTGGTTTATGCCAAAAGTTTCTGGCCCACTACTCCGGACCATTTGTAGTCATTGACCGTCTCAGTGACGTCACATACGTCATCTCCGGCGTCACAAGCAATGGTCGGCGCTCTAGCAAGACACAGCTGACACACGTCGCGCGCCTCAAGCCATATCACCACCAACCTTCCTATTGACTCGCCCAGTGGGCATCGTCTGCGAACGGGGGAAATGACACACCTCGATGGGCGCATGAAGAGGAAGAGGTAGAAGCTGTCTGGCTCACGAGCAGCTCGGTCGCCGGTTTCTGGCTCTGAGCTGTACCGATCTCAACCATTTTCCTGTAAATAAACGCGTTCCTTCGTCACAATATATATAACAGACAGTAATGCCAAGGAATGTACAGGGGAAGTTATTAGAACCAATGGAATGTAAATAAGAAGAAAGAAAAGTGGATGAAAAAATAACCAGCCATGAGCAGGAATAGAACCTACGACCTTCGAATAACGCGTTCGATGCTCTAACCACTGAGCGGCCTTCCCTACATCCACTTTTTTGGGGGTTTATATTAGAATTTAGAAGTAGGAGTGACAGTCAGCGCCATCTATAAGCCAAACAACGAGTGTGAAAACACTCTTATTCGCATGTTTGGCGTCACGTAGCACGTGAACTTATTATGAGCGGGCAGCTGATTAATTGTCCCTCTTATACAACCTAAATACACCAAGTCTGCCAGTACGAGACCCTCGTTCAATGAATTAAGGGAAAGAAGTGTATACCTAAGGGCTCGTTTTTCCGTGTTTTAACACAATATTAATGAGATATAACAGACAGTAATGCCAAGAAGTGTACAGGGGAAGTTATTAGAACCAATGGAATGTAAATAAGAAGAAAGAAAAATGGATGAAGAAATAACTAGCCGTGAGCAGGAATCGAACCTACGGCCTTCGAATAACGCGTTCGATGCTCTAACCACTGAGCTTCCGTATATATATATATATATATATATATATATATTGTGAGATCTAACAAACAGTAATGCCAAGGAATGTATAGGGGAAGTTATTACAACCAATGGAATGTAAGTAAGAAGAAAGAAAAGGGGGGGGGGGGAAATAACCAGCCGTGAGCAGGAGCCTTCATGAGCCTGTGACGCCACACAGGCTCATGAAGAGTGTGCCACACTCGCCGCCATGGCTACATATGGCGCTGGCTGACACTCCCACGTTAAAAATTCACATATATACCCAATAAAGTGGCTGGGAGGATAGCCGCCGTGGTAGAGCTTCGAACGCGTTATTCGAAGGTCGCAGGTTCGGTTTCTGCCCACGGCAAGTTATCTTTTCATTCTCTTTTCTTTCTTCACATTCACCTTGCACTTCGGTCTAATACCTTCCCCTATACTTTCCTTGGCAATATTGTCTGTTAGATTCCATATATATATATATATATATATATATATATATATATATATATATATATATATATATATATATATATATATATATGCGCGTGTGTTTGTATTTTGTTTTTTTTTTTCTTTCTTCAATGGCATCTCACTCCCCTCCTCACCCTCACTTCCCTACCCCTTGCTGTGCTGTTCTATGCATAATAGTAATATCGGTGGTTTTACGTCCCAAAACCACGATATCATTGCGGACGCCGTAGTGGAGTGCTCCGGGTGCACTATGACATCGCACAGTGGACGAGCCGCTACCATTTCGCCTCCATCGGAATGCGACCGCCACGGCTGGGATGGAACTCGTGACCTTCTGGTCGTACTCTGCTATATAAGGCTGTGACTATATGCTTGCGTGCGTGGACAGCCTAGTGTTGAAGACGCTACATTTCGGATGATCTGCTCGCGGGTTCCCGCTGCGTGAAGAAATATTTCTTCATGTCTCTCTTTCTCTACCTCTCTTTCTCTTTCCTTCTCTCTTTGTGCTCTTCGCATACCAAGTGCGAACACGCGTGAGGGCATTGTAGACATTGCATCCCTTCATTGCAACATATTATGCAGGACAGACGGCTCTCTGCATGTTTTTGTGCGTTCTTCCAAAGAAGATGCCATAGTGAAGGCGGTTGTGTCGCGATTATGTTCAAAGGTAAAGTGGCGGAAGACGGTGCAAGAACAGTGTGCAATTAAAGACAGAGGGAAAAAATATTGGGGACCCTAAAGCTTTGCCTTTAGGAGTCGAACGCGATAACGACATCCTGTTCCTAGTGCGTACTTCACACACGTAGTGAATGAAACCTTTACGAATTTGCTATGCATCCACTACGTGGTACTAAGGCAATAGGCGCAGTAGCTTTTGTTCCTTTTGTTTTGGGGTACCGGTTCGCAACCACGGAGCCATTATGATAATCACATATTTTGACGCCCGTTGGCAATGCACGCTTGTATCACGCATTATTACTGCAATATTTCATACAGGGCGCGTGTGTTTGTGAAGCATGAAAGCTACTTTCACTGCATTTCCAAGCAGAGGGAGTTTTTTTTTTTTTTTTAACACTTTCACAAGGAGACGGGGCCGTGTGGTAGAACATCCGTCTGTCACGTAAACGACCCGGGTTCGACCCTCACTTGGACCCAAATAACCCTGGTTCGGTCCCCACTTTGCTTCAGGATCGTTACCATTCATTTATCGTTCTTGATTTTTCGGCCATGTATAGGATGATGATTTTTCGCTCACAACCAACGGTGCAGACGCCGAATTTGTGCGAAACGAGCTCTTAATACTATCGCGTTAAAAACGTCCCGCGATATATTTAGTCGAAAAGCCTGATGCTTTTTTATAATTTATAATTTTTATTTTTTATACAAACGTGCGGAATTCTTAGGTGCAATCATCCGCTTGTTCGGCTGGCTGCTCTGCACACACGTTTTTTTTTGTTACCGCTGTTTTTGGCGCACCTTGGCCCACTGTTTAGCTTGTGCTGTCACTGTGCGCTTCCTTGCTGCTTGTGCACCCCCCCCCCCCTCCCGCATTCCGGTGGCCTCCGACCCCTGGAGATAAGGGTCCTAAATACCGGAAAGCCCTTCCTTCCTGGCGACGCAGCACACATTGTTTGGCGCACCGGGCTACTTTCGCTTTCGGCGGCGCACACTTCATGTGTGTGTGGTGCGTGTGTGTGTGTGTGTGTGTGTGTGTGTGTGTGTGTGTGTGTGTGTGTGTGTGTGTGTGTTTTGATTTGTGGGGTTTAACGTCCCAAAACCACCATATGATTATGAGAGACGACGTAGTAGAGGACTCCGGAAATTTTGAGCACCTGGTGTTCTTTAACGTGCACCCAAATCTGAGCACACGGGCCTACAACATTTCCGCCTCCATCGGAAATGCAGCTGCCGCAGCCGGGATTTGAACCCGCGACGTGCGGGTCAGCAGCCGAGTATCTTAGCCACTAGACCACTGCGGCGGGGCTGTGTGTGTGTGTGTGTGTGCGTGTGTGTGTGTGTGTGTGTGTGTGTGTGTGTGTGTGTGTGTGTGTGTGTGCGTGCGTGTGTGTGTGTGTGTGTGTGTGTGTGTGTGTGTGTGTGTGTGTGTGTGTGTGTGTGTGTGTGTGTGTGTGTGTGTGTGTGTGTGTGTGTGTGTGTGTGTGTGTGTGTGCAACACTGAAAGTGGTGGCACTTGTAAGAAGGCTCGTGCAGCGGTGGCACGGCTACCATGGTACTTCGAACCAGAAGTCGATGCAGACGGGCGCCGTAGCCCACAATCCTTTGCGTGAGCCGCGATTTTGCTATCCACGTATTTGATTGGTTCGTAGCGCGTTTGGGAGCTTAGCCCACTTGATCGCGTTAATCAGTGGATAAGTTTTCCCGGCTGCACATATATCTCAGCATCTCTCGAGAATCTATCACCCACTTTGGAAATTGTCGTCCAATGGTTTCGGCACAACACGCACGCACACACCACACACACGGTGGGCGGCTGTGCGAATGCCGCCCCCCGCTCCGCTTCAACGACGAATCAACGCCCACTGCTCGAACTGTTCTTTGAAATGCACGTGTGGACCCGAAAATTGGCAATTTAGGAACCTTCATGCGGTTACGGAGGCGCGCGCACTCCACCTGATCGTGTAAAGAAGGAGTCAGTGGGCCGTGTCGCCTTATGGCAGACAGAAATAAGGTGCCTTTCTTCAAGAACCACTATTACCACTACTAAAAATGCGCGGCCAGAATGAAATGAAATGTGGGTGTGTATCGAAAACGGAATGATTGAACACTTGGAGAAGTTCCGAAACTTTATATCGCGATCCCCCCCCCCGCCTCAAGATATTCCCCTCTGTAAAAATGTCGGAAAAGAACCCTGCTAGACATATCCAAATGGTTTATCATTTCATGCATGTCGACGCTTCGCAGAATGGCAGCTGCGGCGGCGAGCACGAGTCGGCCGGGCCCGGCGCGGAGTCTAGCCGTGATGGCGTGCCGTGGGAGCGCGAGGTGGAGACCGGCCGGCTGCACTTCGTCAAGTTCGAGACGCGCCACATCGAGGCGTGGCTCCGCTTCGTCCAGGAGGAGCTGCTGCGCGACGGCAGTCCGCCGCGGCTGGGCGGAAGCGTCAAGCTCACCGGCGGGGGGGCCTTCCGACACCGGCAGCTGATCGCCGCCACGCTGGGACTCAGGCAGGTTCTTGCTTCCCCGCGTGGTTCGTGCGAGATGGGTCGCCCACATGACCTTTGGCGTGCGCAGCATTCTCCATTAAAGGGGCATTGAAAAGAAAAACGATTTTTCTCATATTAGTCAAGGTACTCATTTTGAAACGGCGCAAAAGACAAAAGCCACAGACGTGAGTGCTTTATCAAACGAAACAGAAAAGAAAGGGGAAGAAGGAACATGCGTGTGCAGCCTATTGCACATGACAAAAATGCTATAGTGTGTTTGCACACCGTCCTTTGCGTTGCTCGAATTCGAGTTGAGTTGTTGAGATAATACCTATTGATGCAACTAGTCTGTAGTCTTTTTGTCATTATAAAGGCCAACTCCGGTGATTTTTTTACCATGATAGGGTAATGGTGCTGTTATGTTCCCGAGACACTCACACGCGAGCTGGAATGCTCAACAATTTTGAAAACAGTTTTTAATATTCTGTCAAAAGCAGTAGATTTGCAAGTTTTTCACTAATTGAAGCAAGAATATAACTTTCATATCTGAGCCCTGGAGGCTGTCGTTCTGTGCTGAAGCTGAGCCCCCAATTACGGCATGATGGACACCACCGCATTTACTTCTGAGAAGCATTTTTTGCCTTGAAAGACTTTTCCGTGATTCCTGCACAATTTCTAAGATGTTACATGCCACTATAGCACGGCCGCTGGATGAAAAAAAAAATTGCCCGCAGCTTCCCTCGGGGGAACACTGAGGAGGATGCGGAGCATATAATTGGTTAACGGGGTGTTAAAGTGCGACTTACTTGGGTCGATGGCTAAATTGGTTAACGTGGTTGTGAAATGGGGTGTTAAATTGCGACTTACTTGGGTCGCTGGCTAAATTGGTTAACGTGGTTGTAGGAGGGGTGTTAAATGAGTGAACACGTACGACACGTATGCGAAAGGGCGGTGTTTATTTATTGCGACGAACTTTGAGCACGATGGCTTTTAGATGCCACTTTGGGTGGCGCTGGTCGAAGGGACGTCGATCATTGCGACCTCGGACGTCGACGCGCCGTACAAACCAACCGACGAGCGGCAACTGAGCGAGCGAGCACCGACCTTGAGTATATATACAGCGCGACGGCGCATGCACTGTCAGCTGTCGAATGTTCGAAAAGGGGGAGAAGCGCAACGGCGCATGCGCGCGCGTCAGCTGCCGATGTTCTCGAAGCGCGACGGCGCATGCGCGCGCGTCAGCTGCCGATGTTCTCGAAGCGTGACGGCGCATGCGCGCTACATTATACAGCTAGCGAATGTTCGTGAAGAGGAGAAGCGCACGCGGTGTGTAGAGGAGGAAGGGTGCACAGATGGTGGAGGAGTGAGCGCGCGCGGTGTGTAGAGGAGGAAGGGATGCACAGATGGTGGAAGAAGGAGGAGGAAGCTTGCGGACGGCGCCGCACTACAAGCCTCGAGTATTAGATGCTCCGCATCTAAAAGCGCACGGCACGGCCCGCCACGTCAAGCGGCTTTCAATGGGAGAGCGCGTTTCAGGCGTTGTTGCAGTTGCGGCCGCTGCAGCGCGACAGGGCGGGGACAGGAAGGAAGGGGAAACGAGGGCGGGTGGCTCCCTCAGGGCAACAGTCGCAGCTGGTGGTCGTCACGACAGAGACCCACTCAGTTTTTTTAATCAGTGTTTTCTTTTTTTGGGTATCACGTGACGTGAATAGGTGACGAGGGTAAACGGCACATCCAAACATGATAATCATGACACGGAGGTCATGTACAACACCATTTACCTCTACCTCGTAAGGTTGTGCTAATTTTGTAGTGGCATATCAACATTTCTCTTTCGTGCTTCGCATATCATCGATTCCCACTGTATGTCGATCTGCCAATTTTTTAAATCTAATTTATCGCAGTGATGACATATCACATATGTAGTAGACTTCGAGGTGCTATCTAGTTAAAAAGTCAATTGATTTTTTGTGTATGTGCCGAGCACCTGACGCTTTTTTTTTTTTTTCAGAATCAGCTTTTTTGCTTTGAGGTTGAAAGAAAAATCTTCAATGCATGTAGCTGAATAATATGGCATTGAATGCATGACAAAGTCATTGTTCTGTTTATGAAGACGTGTTAAACTAAATTATTTCGATATTGGTGACATTTATTCTGCACCTTTGGAACTAATCTTTAGTACTTATTTTATATACTGTTTTTATATGCTGAGAGCATATGAAAGAAACATGATTTGAATATTTTCCGGGTTGTCCGGTACATAGTGTGCCCAAAGGTAATTCAGCTTCAAACGCTGGATAAAAGTGGTTTCTACAAACGTGGTGACGTTCTCCTCGTAACTTTATTGAAGAAATACATCAATAGAAGTGGCATTCAACTTTCTTCATAGTTCTTACAAGGCAGGACAATTTGTATGTATGTATATATATATATATATATATATATATATATATATATATATATATATATATATATATATATATATTGGCAAACACAATCTTCAAATTGCATGAATAAACTCAAGCTATATTTATTTATGCGTGAGATTCACTTCCCCAGTTTTTTCATTATATACAGCCGGGTCAAGTAACAACCACGTTTTTATGTTTACACATCGTAAAACCACGGCTGCTGCAGGGCAGCCGAGTACACGTGCCTTCGTTGGAGCGAGCACAGGTGCCAATTGGTCGACGATACATAGTAAAACAAATAAACAGTAATGAATGACAGAACCGCATGGCGGATACTGCCAGAAAACAAGCGGGTTGGAGTGCTATCGGCATTCACAAGTGCCCGTGGAGAGAATAAAATGAAAATATTGAATGGATGGCTTTATTGGCAATAGACACATCAGCCAAAAGTTGGGCGCACAAGACGGAGGCAGAACGAAACAACAATAACAAATAACGTGAAAAGTAAACAGAGACGAGAATAGCAGAGCGTGTATGCCATTTTTTTTCCTACCGCAGCTTTTTCCAAAACAACCCTTTTCACAATCTCCCAATGAAAGGATTGCAACGTGTGTGTCAGTTGCCAGCATATATTTGTTTCAAATATAAACTCTTGTCGCCCACCAGCTGCTTTTCGGCACCTTTTTGCCTCCACATGTTTTGCTGATGTAAATTTTAGTCTGTGTGCCGTTCCGCAAAAGACAACAGACAACCGAACTTCTTCAATGGAAAGGGTGCTCGAGCTGTTTTACGAAAACGAACATCAGTTCCACATGGCCTTGTGGAAGATACATGACACCACAACGTGACAGCGTTCAGAAATAACCGGAACTAATGGCAAAGGTGCTAAAGGCTTAAAGGCAGGCATTAGAAGAAAACTAGAGATAAGCCGGGAATTAGAAAAAAGCTAGAGATAAGAGAAAACAGGAAGGGGTGTTGAAACTCCTGGATGCAACAACGTTTGTAGCCAGCGGCTGTGGGGGGGGAATGTAAACATATGCTTGTCGGATGCGGAACGGGGCACCTTTTGTGTGTGTGTGTGTGAGCGTTACCAACTAATATGCACTCACTCGGACATTCTCCCTGAAAAATATCGCCTACCAAGCTGTGAAGCTATTGTCAACTGGTTTATTATGCAAAGGTGTAAAGAAGTAAAAAAATTTAAAAAATGGCAGGATAAGCCCTAAATTGAGAATAAATAAAATATTTTCATGCAATTTGTTCAGATTATGTGTTCACTGTTGAATGTAAGGTTGAATACGTTGCACTATCATAAGAGCGTTGTGACAAAAAGAGACAGAAACACTCATAAGCGCAGAAACGCAAACAGTTGTGTGTGCTCACATTTTCCAGCCTTTCATCTCTCTTCGCGTCTCACAGTTTTCATATTATTCACTTCATAACTGCTCACTCAATTGCCAGCACTGAAGTTACAGTCACTGAAATTTCAAAGAGGCTCGAGTCCACTGTCATGAGATCACACACATGCTAAGTATATTTCGTGACTGTTGCATCTGATACTGTATTGTATGAATGATATAGACATGTTTGGAGGAAGCAAAAAGGCCTATCTTATTTTGTGCTAAATGAACAGTGGCAACTGTAATTGCAGAGGTTGCTTATTCTAAACTAAATGATTAAACCTGAAGCAACGTTTTCTGAAGCAACATAGTCCCATTTACTATAATGAATTTCGATGCATTAGGAAAGGTGTAGCTCTTCTAGATAAGTTAGTTGTGATCTTGTAGGATCCGAGTAAAATGTGCTCACAATACTTACTTCCGCGAAAACTGATCAACCTGCAAGGCTCCATATCAGGTAAGACAAATACCCAAAATTTGAAAGGACTGCAGATTTGTAAAAGCAAGATCCGTAATTACCTGGTGGGCACACGCTAGACAGATATTAAAAGATTTCGTGGGTCACACACAGATGCACGCGCTCAATTGTAACTACCGTAAGCGTGCCACGCATGCGCTTCTGTGGGCGCTCGTCGTAAAAACTGTCCTCTCCCCCCCATGTGGCACCGCAGCGGTGGTCCGGGTACCTGTCACGCCGAATTTGGAGCACGCGGTGGGTGGGCTGTACCCGTGCGCTTTTTGATCCAGCAGCCGTGCGATTACACTCACTACAACCCACAGGAACACACTCAGCGTAGGCAAACGGCATGATGAACACAATGTTGAAATCGCAAGTAACTAAGTACTTATGGTAACGGCAGCACTATACAAGAAACAAGAGTAAAATGGGAGGCCTTATGGCTGACCTGTGACTATGTAAAATCAGTTCCGAAATTAGCAGTGCTTGCAGAGTGCCACCGCTGCTGCCGAAATATCACCACTGCAGGAAAAATGTTTTTTTATCTTTTTTGGTTCCAAGTGACGCCTGCGCAGTGGTATTCTGGTATGGGTCGGTATTTGCTGATGCACTTAATAATTTTTTCACTCATACGACTACACCAGCAAGTAGGGATGATGCTTGCGAGTACATTAAAAACCTAACTGTTCAGTGATCGTACTTATCTCCTACCACCGCCCACGATGTCTCATCAACAATAGCAGGTATTAAAAA